ATATCTGAAGTGAGAGAAAACACTCCTATCTATAGATAGACTCAAAGAATATGTCATAAAAACGACACAATTGTGTGATAAGTGAAGCCTATATTGAGTGCAATAAACTGTATATAAAAACATATTATAACAAAATATATTCAGCTTAATTTAGTGTCAAATTCAGACGGTCCATTTGCTTTAACACTATTTAAATAATTTATTTTATAATTTTGGATACAAATTTAAAAGATTTTATAATATTCATGTTCAAATATTATTTTTATATATAATAGTTTTAAAATTAAATTATACTTTATTAATTTTTAAAAAATAATAGTGAAACTTACTAGATTCATTTGATTATTATATGTACATTAAAATATTAACCACAAGCCATTATAATTTTATGATAATTACATATAAGTTAATCTTGAGAGGCAGGCAGAGAGAGAGAGAGAGAGAGAGAGAGAGAGAGAATATATGTCATGATAAGTATTTGACGAAAACCTATAAAAAATTACAAAACACGTCATAAAATGTTAGAGTATTTTATCGATAACTCTAATTTATATTACCGTAAAATTATATTATATTTAATGCATCGAAAAACTTATTGTGATATTCTTTGCATCCGTTTATATAACACATAAACTTTGTCATATTATATCGCAACACATTTTGCCAATATTTACAGTTTGCTAAAAATATTACTAAATTTGCAAAACCCTGACAGGAAGGGAACGGGACCCCAATCGGAGGAGGCATACGGACAGACACTACTGATGGACAGACCGACAGCCCCGCAGCTATCGGTGGGTGACGTGACCTTTGACTCCATAGAGATAGTGTGGAGTTTCCCTCTGGAAAGCCCTAACCTAACGGTGGCGTTGGCGACAATCAATGGGTATTACATATACTCTAAAAGCCATTCCTCTCAATGGATGGACAAACAGATCCGTCAGAAAATCAGTTCCTATACTGCGATAGACTTACTCTGCGGTACACTCTATCAGGTATTGTATTGAATAGAGTTTTGCACCAAATTATGGATTAAATTATTATTCAGATTATTTAAAATGAACTGTAATAATAACAATAGATTATAAAGTACCAGTATATAAATTATAAATTTAAATTTATTAAAATTGGCAGAGGATGACAAGATAATTATTATAATATTCTTATCAATTAGTTTTAGTTTAAATAATACGTTTATATAAAATTTTAAACAAATTAATTATTAATATTATTATCCATTAAAACATGTCTAATATATTTCGATCAGTTTTATGTCGTGGCGTACAATGCGATGGGAAAGGGAGACCCGAGTGATGCCATTGCTATTAAGACCAAAGGATCAGGTATATATTATGAAATAATTATTATTATTAAAATAAAAATTATCACAAACTATTTTATTGTAAGGATTTTGTGTCGATTTAGCCAAATTTAATATTATAAAATTGTGCATTCACATTTTATAATGTGTATATAAAAGTTACAGTTATAAAACTATTTGTTTGCATCCCTTTCCCCAACAGTGCCGGCATCTCCCAAACATATGACTGAATTGGTTGTGGCGAACACGACGTCGGCGCTCATTCGTCTGGACAGTTGGCCATCAAACGGCTGTCCCATCAAAGAGTTTGTCATAAAATACAAACCATCCAAATATGAAACCGATTGGAGCGAAGTGTCGGCTCAGGTGTGGCCCCAGGAGTCGCTCATTGAGATACAGGCGCTCAGCCCCGGGAACTGGTATTTACTCAATGTTAAGGCTATCAATGAGGCGGGCAGTGCTGAGCAAACCTACCAGTTCGCCACACTTACGGCACAGGGAGGTGAGGCATAAAATGAATATTATAAAATGATACAATTTTATATAAAAATTACATAGGTTAGTTGGAGATTTTAATAATGACCACCTCTAGGTGCCTACAAATTTTAAAAATTGAGTCTGATCATATAATTCAGAATTAATTCAATGAATAATATACAGTTTAAAAGCATTAAAAATACATTCTATTAAAGCTGTAATCCATATTCAATTACAGTACCATTAATGTGTAACAAATCTGTTTTATTCAATTATAAACCACTTCACCTTGGACTTTCATGAATACCCGGTTAGATTTTCAAAATAAAAATTTAATGTATGACTTAAGGGTATTTATGAAATTTTTATAATCCCTGTCCAATAATGTACTGTATGGGTGGGTTTAGTATAAAATGTAAATGGGACTTATTCGGGAACCTAAGGCATGTATAAATAAAATTGTATGCATATTTTTTTATAGACTTTTTATAATTTACAGTTTTAATACATTTGACAAGTTTATACAAAATAATGATAAACGAAGTGACTGTTAATCTATGACCAATCTTTTTTAAGTGTATGATTCCTATGACTATCGATATTTTATCATCGATTACCAGTCATTCGATTGTCATTATTTCGAATAAACCTTGTTCATTTATAAAACTATATAAATATTTATCTAATCCCTGTTCCCACCTAACTATAGGCACAGTATCGCCACTGTCCGAGAGGGAGCCGTTAGGTTTGGAAAGCATAACAATAGTAATACCTGTGATATGTTCGGTGATTGTGTTGACTGTGATACTAATCATTGGCTTAATTGTGGTCAATAAGCGCCGACTGCCGGCCACTCATAACCCAAACCAATCGCTACATAATCAGCAAAACCACTGCCGCGACGACCAGCTATTGGGCTCAGCCTACCATTTATCGGTACTGGACAGTCAGCCCCCGAAGGACAGCCACGAGAACCAGTGCTTCCACACGACTGTCCTCAACCAGAAACAGATATACTTTCAGTCGCCGTACGCCCTCTCCCGGGTTGACCACAAAATGT